TAAATCAAATAAATTAGTTACCACTGAATTCAGCAGGCTCATAGCCATCTCCTATATGTGAGAGTAGGCTGTGTTCCATAGGATTTTTAAAGTGATGGTTTCAGAAGTAAACCCTTAGGCCTTTCTTCCATATTACTTCTCTGTGGACTCACACCTCCAACCCTTCGGCTAGCAGGAGCCAACCACATTAACAATTTATATGAGCCAGTGGCTCCCTTTGTTCCTAAGCCAGCCTTAAGTCATTTTTGGCCTCATGGTTTGTGTTTTTCTTTGAATAAAAAGTTTTCTTTATGTCTAGGCTAACAAAGATATTCTCATATTATTTTATATCAACTTTATGGTTTTGTATTTCACATTTAGGTTTTAACACTTTTGAAGGACACTTTTTAATGAAGTGTACAGGGAGTCAATTTTAGTTTTCTCTGTGTAATAAATCTGATTTCCCGATATCACTTAGTAAATTATCCACCCACTCTTTCCCCAGTTTATGTTATTATGTTTAGAGTATATTACATTGCCATAGCTCTATTATCCCATCTCTGAAATATATTCTATTCCATCAGTGTATTTTTTTCTGTAAGTTTTCAAAATCACTATTTTCATAACCACGGACTGGAAAAAAAAAAATATAGTCAATGTAACAACCAATTCTTTATTTTTACCCCCTTTTTTTGAAGTTGATTTACCTATTCATAGACCTTTAAAATAAGTTTGTTAAAAATCAATTGTTTCCTTAAGAAGTACAACTGGAATTTGTATTGAAATCTATTGATTATAGAGAGTAATTTGGGAAAAATTGACATTTGTATATTAATTTTCACAAAAGAAAATAATATTTCTCATGTTCAGCTGATTTTTTTTAGATTAGTTTACTGTGTAATACTTCAATCAAGAGAAAACTAATGATGAATTTTCACAAGAAAGCACATTCAAATTGCCCCTGTGTTATGAGGTAGAAAATTACAAGTGTTCTGGACATTCCAGCTTACGCTGTCTCAATCATTATCCACTGTCTTTCCCAAAGGTACCACTATCATGCCTTGTATATATAAGAAGTTTAAGTAAATGGAACATTACAAAATGTGTATTTATCTGGTTGGCATATGTATTCAACAGTAGTTTGTGACATGCACCCATGTGGTTCTACATACTTCATTTATCTTCAGTGTATAAAATATTCCATTTAATGAATATACCACAATTTATTTGTTACCAATATGCTGTTATCACCATTGTTGCATATATGCATGTTCACATATGCATACATTTCACATGAGTATATAAAATAGTGAAATTTCTATGTCATATAGTATGTATTTGTTCAGTCTTTGTGAGTAATGAAAATTTGTTTTGCTAAGTGATTGTAACATAGTGCCTAAAGCACTTGACTGCTAACCAGAAGGCTGGTGGTTCAAACCCACCAGCCACTCCTGGGAAGGAAGGCTGGGCAGTCTACTTCCATAGTGATACTGCCTCAGAAACCCAAGGAGGGGTTGCTTTGAGTTGGGTCCGACTCAACAGCACATAACAACAACAACAACAACAAAAGTGATCGTAACAATTTACATTCTGACCAGAATTATATGAGGGTTCCAATTAATCCACATTTCTGCTAACATTTGGTATTATATTGTTGGTCTTCCTAATTTTGGCCATTCTGCTAAGCATATAATGGTATCTTGTGGTTTTAGTTTGTGTCTCCCTGGTGATAAAGGAGATTGAGCAATTTTTCATATATATATTGGCCTTTTGAAGGTGCTGTTTGATGGAGAGATTGTTCATTTTTCTATTGGAGTTTACAAATTTTATTATTGATTTGATAAACCTTTTTTTAAAAATATATATCTTTGGGATACGGATCCTTTTTCATTTATCAGTATTGTAAATGTCTTCATCCTATGGCATAAATTTCATTTTCTTAATAGTGTCTTTTGATGGATAGAAGTTTGCAATTTCAGTGTTGTTGTTGTTATTATGTGCCTTCCAGTTGGACCCAACTCATAGCGACCCCTCCTTGGGTTTCCAAGGTTGCATCACTATGGAAGTAGATTGCCCAACCTTCCTTTCGAGGTGTGGCTGGTGGGTTTGAACTGTCAACCTTCTGGTTAGCAGTCAAGTGCCTTAGGCACTACACTACCAGAGCTCCTAATTTCAGTGTAGACAGTTTATATTTTCATCTTTATGTGTCATCAATTTTTCTTTTTCCTTACCCCCAGTTCATGAAAATGTTCTCCTTTATGGTATATGGTATTAGATTGGGGCAAATATTTCTTTTCTTCTATGGAGCCAATCAGTGCATGACACTTACTGAAAACCTGTTTCTTTTCTATGAATTGCTGTTTTCCCTTAGTCATAAACAGTGTCTGTATATCCCTGTGTCTCTTTCTGTGCCATTTATCTGTTGCTATTCCCACACAAATTTCACTATGTATAAACTAATGTAGGCTTGCAAATATATATATTGTTTATATTATTATCTTATAACATATTATAATATGCTGCCCAGAAATGGTTCTCAAACTTGATTGCACATTAGAAACACCTGGGAAATTTAGAAAATATAAATGTCTGGGTCTGTCCTCAAGACCTAATTACTTAATTGTATGAGTTAAGTTCTCATCATCAGATTTTTAAAACATCTTCCTGATGATTATAACATGCAGTCAAATTTGAGATATTTTTCTTCAGAGATCTTATATGTTTTTTTTTTCAGATCTATTCAGAGTTATTTGATATTTTCATGTTATTTTCAAAGGTATTTTAAATTTTCACTTCTCTTTATTGTGTTGGTTGATTCATTTGGACTTTTTATGTACATGTTAATTTATTTCTTCTTTCCAATGATTGACTTTTTATTTTACCTTCCATTAAAGCACTGACTAATACTTCTGTTGTTGTTGTTAAGTGCCATAGAGTTGGCTCTGACTCATAGCAACCCCTCCTTGGGTTTCCAAGGCAGTATCACTGTGGAAGTAGATTGTCCAACCTTTCTTCCGAGGAGTGGTTGGTTTGAACCTCCAGCACTCTGGTTCTAGCATGATATAAATAGGAGTGACGATAAAGGACCTTGTGTCATTCACAATCAGAGATTGAAAGTTTCAGTAATTCACTATTAAGCACAATGTTTGTTTTAGGGTAAAGATGTTTCTTCCTCTTTCTGGAGCCAAGGGGTATGGATGAACCCCTGAAACAATTATCCTGAGATAATCTTTAAAACTTAAACCAAAAACATCCCCTGAAGTCTTCTTGAAATCAAACGATCATTTAGCTTAGCCAGTGAAACATGTCTGCCTTAAGCACTATGCTCTTGTAAGAGCTATCTGTTTGAGATCAAACTGACAGAAGCAACTCAAAAGATTAGATAGGAATCTTAGGGGACAGTGAGTTTATGTGAATGGGGAGGAACCGCTCAGAACAGGAAGGTGAGAATGGGTGCTCAACTCAAAGAATTCAATCAAGCCAGTGAATTATACACATAGAAACAGTTAACTTGGTATATGTATTGCAGTGTACATTTTTAACAAGAGAAATTTTTTAAACAAGAAATTTCCTTCCAGTAGTAGCTTGTTAACAG